CACATCTACAAAAAGTGTCTGATGTTAAAATAATGTTTAGAAAATATCTCTAATGTTAATTGTTTCCTTAAAATATGAGTGTTGGTCACTTAATGTTTACATTTCGATATAAACAAAAAGGACCAGCCTTGATTTTTTTGCAAAATCAAAAAGGACCCAACATTTCCAAACCAAGACCGGTCTGGCTCACGAGTTTTCGATGGACCATAAGAACTTTACTGGAATTGTACTTTATACTTTTGAGTTTTGTTATTTGTGGACTGATGATATCCGGGATCTTAGGTCTCTAACATTGAAACATGAAGAGGCATTTTCAGATCGTGTTATTAATAATACAAATACGAAACGATAGGTTTCAATAAAGGTCAAAGAAGCAGAGCAAATACTGACTTGCTCCAACCACAAAACCCAAAAACCCAAGAGATTAAAAGAAAGGCAGGCCCCAAATCACAAACCCCGGCAGTAACAACCGGTACAATTGCGTAATCAACTGTAGAAAAGACAAACTTAGAACTCCCAAGAAATCCCAATCGAAGCAAATTCAAGATTTTTTGGATCTTCCTTTCAAGGATTCCAGAGGAGTGTAGTCTCTGCAATCATGGAAGTAACAGTGTAAGGGTCCATGTTAGAAGCTGGCCTCCTATCCTCAAAGTATCCTTTCCCTTCTTTCTCCGTGTCACGTCCTACACGGATCGATGCTCCACGGTTTGCAACACCCTTTTAAACAAGATTCAACACACAAAAATCAGTATACAAAAATGTTATCAAGTCTTTACATTTAGAGCAAAATGTTTTAATAACTTTACCCAGAGGAAAGTGTTGATATCAGCAGTTTCATGGTGTCCTGTGAGACGGCGCTCGTTGCCTTCACCGTAAGCAGAAATGTGCTCCTTGTGTCTCAGTCCGAGCTTCTCGATTGCCTTCTTGATTATTTCGTATCCTCCTTCCTCTCTCATCGATTTAGTACTGAAAAAAAAAAACCGTTCACCATTTTTCAGAAACACAATAAAGATCAACTACATAACAAACTCAAGTTTGATGATTTTTTTACCTGTAATTGGTGTGAGCACCAGCTCCGTTCCAATCACCTGGGATCGGTTTTGGGTCAAAAGATACAACCACACCAGCAATCTCTGTGATCCTCTGTTTTTCAGACCATGAAAACTTGTATTTAAGTTTATATTCCTTAAAGAGATCAACAAAAGCTGAGAGTGGATAGTTTAATTATACCTCCAAAATGTAACGAGCGATCCATATTTCATCAGCAGCCGAGATACCAACAGATGGTCCGACTTGGAACTCCCACTGTCTCAACAAAATTTAAGCAAAAATATATAAACTTTTGGTCATACGTAATCTAAAGATTGAACCTTTATTGGTTATTGAAGATTACCTGACCCGGCATGACTTCTCCATTGATCCCACTGATGTTGATTCCGGCATATAAACAGGCCTTGTAGTGAGAATCAACAATGTCTCTCCCAAAAGATTTGTCAGCTCCAATACTGCAATAGTATGGTCCCTGTAAGAGATGGTATTACAGAAACATCAGACGCCGATGATAGAGAAAACAAAAAAAAGAGCGGAAAACAGACGAAAAAATCCATGAAAATGGAATGTACCTGAGGCCCGGGGAAGCCACCGATGGGCCATCCAACTGGCCACTTCACATCCTTTTGTAACAAAGTGTATTCTTGTTCAATTCCATACCTGATTTACAGAGAAAAATCAGCAACCTAAGACCGCAAGAAACCGAAAAAAAAAGAACAGGGGAATATGGACTGACCATGGCACTTCAGCTACAACACCAGGGTTGCTAAAGATCTCAGCAGCAGCATGTCTCTTGTTCGTTGGGATTGGATCACCGGCAGGAGTGTAAGCATCACACATGACCTGATCAAACCGATAAAAGAACCGTTATCTTTAACCGCTAAAACAGAACATGTGCAAGAAAATCTAAGTTTTCACTCACAAGAATGTTGTTGCCTCTACGGAACGGATCTTTGAAAATCGCTTGAGGGCTAAG